AGGAGCACAGAATGTCCTGCCAAACACATTTCCAGTTAAAACATGAAACATGGCCTCGTGGGCGACTTGGATGCAGTTCTTGCAGAGAAAATCAGCACTGCTTTGTCTTCCAGACCACCAATTCAGGAGTGGTGCAGCTGGGATATACAACAAGTCTGTTTTGGTTTTCCTTGGAAGTAATGAATCATAGTCCCCCCGAGGAACACTCTTAATGCATAATGGTGTTGGGCAAGAAATGGACTTCCAGGCCACGTTTGAGGCTCCTCACTTTTCATCCTGCATCTGGTGCTTTCCCTTCTATGGCTGAGCAAGTGCAAGGAGGTGGGCTTAGCCTGGGAGTACCTTTTGTCTTTGTAATCCCTGTGTGATGTCACAGAGGGAGTGTTCTGAGGCGGGAACATCTCAGCCTGGCTCCATCAAGAATCTGAGTGGCCTTGTGGAAATTGCTACCTCCCTCTTAATCACACAGGGTTGGACTGAGGATTAAGTGCCATGTGCTGTACTTGCAACAAAGTTTTTATTTTATTCATTTATTTTTAGACTTATTTTCTGCTAATTGGCCCGAGGGCCTTCTAAGCAGATCACAATAACAGAAAATCAGATCACAATAATAGAAAATCACAATAATAGAAAATCAGGACAAAGATAATAAAAAACAATATGATCACACTGACCAACATGTGCTTAAGTTGGTCAGTTTGCTGTTGCATTGTAATGTTTTGCACTGACTCAGGATAGCCCTGCCACAGCTTTCTGGCTAGGGGTTCAGACGTCTTGCTAGATACTTAAGATGATGAGTGTATATGCACCAAACTGACTCTTGATGGAGGGTGGAGAGGTCAACGCAGTGCCATCTTCTGGCGATTCACTGGAGGTGGCCATCTGCTGCTCCCTCCTCCTTAGCCCAGGGGAATGGGGGGGAAGTGGGGGAGACAGGAGGTGGGCTGACGGAGCAGACAGATGCGGCTTGGCGAGGAAAGATGAATTACACAAAGTGCTTCTTTATTGCAAGAACGCTTCCCCAAAGGCCCAGATGTTATCCTGAGCTTTTAAGAGTGAAGAAAGGATCTGTTAGCAAGAATGCTGCTGCTGCTGGAAGCCTGGAGCTGATACAATTGTAAACCAGCCATAACTGTCCATGTCAGCATCCGATGAGCCTCACGTCTGTGCTCTAAAGTGGCTGAACACCATTTCTGCTTAGTGAAAACCATGGGGTGGCTGTAGAAGATTTGACTCGTGTCGCTGTTATCAGAGAAGATATTTCCCCGCTCTTGCACAAAACAAAATATACATGGCAGAGTTGGTAAAAGGCCCCGTTCTTCTTGTGCTCTTTTGGAGCATAACTGCCTAAACATAATCTGGGCTAATTTGTTGTGTGTCATGCAGATGGCTCCCAAGGGCCCCAATCTCAGTTGCTGCTTCTTTAATGGGAGCGGATGATTTGCAAGCTCTCCGGCTTGCCTTCAGAAGCCTTGCCACAAAGGCCAGTTGTGGGACCAGTTGCTACTCATCTCACTAGCAAAATGACTGCAGCTTACAATGGAAGGCAGTCTTATGTACAAAAAGGACCTGGATGCACAGGGTGCATTTGTTTAAGGAGCAGACCGAACTTGGTTTAACAGCCATTTAATTCCCGCACACCAGCCAACTGCACTTGGGAATGCAGAGACTGGCCAGTGACGTTGAACTTTTAATTCCTCACATGCTGACTAAATACACTGGGAGCCAGTACAGTGTGGTGGTTAGAGTGCTGGCCGACTTGGATCTGGGAGATCCGGGTTCTAGTCCCCACGCAGCTACAAAGCTCACTGACCAGTCGCTGACTTAGCCTAACCTGCCTCACTGGACCAGTTGCTGACTTAGCCTAACCTGCCTCACAGGGCTGTTGTGAGGATAAGATTGAGAGGAAGATTATGTATGCTACCTTGAGCTCCTTGCAGGAAAAAAGGTGAGATATAAATAGAATAGAATAGGATAGATGGCAATTCTCAGGATTCTTTGGGGGGAAGCCAAACTAAACTGGCATAAAACAGATAAATGCCTGTATTTTGGATATGACTAGATGTGATAATGTAACATATTTTCAGGGAATTTTGTTCTTTTGGAGGAAATTCTTGGGTGTGTGTATATGCAAAGTGGGGAGGGAGAATGTGTGTGCAAACATGTCAGCCTAAACCTAGGCCTTTCCCAGCTCTGTTGCTTGCAATGATGTTGCCAAAAGCAAAGTGTCAAGGCATGTGCTGTGTTTGCCCCCAATGCATCCTATTCCAAGATAGGTAAAGGCTTCTATGGTGTGTTTGATATGCATTAAGTCTGCTTCTGTTGATAATGTTCTTTATGAGAATGGTGTAGGTCTCTACCACCATTTATTTGTTTTTTGTTGGTTTTTATTAAGTGCCATTTAATTCTCTTGTGCTGCCTTGAGTTTGATTTTGTGTTAGAAGGCAGGAAGACGGGACAGACAGACAGACAGACGTAGGAGGGGGGCTGAGCAAAGCAGCTTCTCCCCTCTCAAGGTCCAGCTTTAAGGAGCAGTCCCAAGCATATTTAGACAGAAAAGGAGTCTAAAGCCATGCTGTCTGGGGATTGCTGGGACTTGCAGGCCCTTTTTCTTGCCTAAATATGCAGAAGATTGTTCCCAAGATATTGTGCTGCCTGAGGGAGCAGAGTAAACAAGGAGGAGGGGGCGTCTTGCATTACCCCCCTTCACCAAGTTGAGGTGCACAGTACCCAGGTAAGATGAAGTTGATCACCCGAGGCAGAAAATCTTACAAGCACCTCTCTGTATCGGTAATACCAAGATGGAGATAATGAATTGAAAAGTAGCACACTTCTTGTCCTTTCCTGCAAACTAAAGGTTATTTTCTTGGATTGTTCCTGGGACTTACGGTCTCCTTGAAGGTGAGAAATAATCTACAAAATAAATTGTGCGCTACCGATAAGCATATTTGCACTCATTGCTGTGGAGGCTGTGCTACAAAGACTCATGGGATATGTGCTGGGAGTGGGTGGGGAGAGGGGGAAGCAAGCCAAGGCCAGCTGCGAGGCACCCAGTCCTTTTTCAGGAATAAGCCAGGTTAGCAAGCAAACTGCCAGCCATCATTGCTTATTTCAAGGGCCCTAGTGGGATGTGTGAAGTGGCCCATCTACCCTGCCTTTTTGCAAGGAATCTCCTGACTTGTAGCACTTGTACTATCAGCAGTGGGCCCCCTGGGCGCTAAAGGACTAGGAGATACCGGCCAGTGAGTAGAAGGCCGGGCCAAGACCTTTTTAATTAAACGCTATTTTACTTGTTAAGGTTTATTTATTGATTTTAAACTGACCAGGCTGTTTCCACTATTTATGTATTTTATGTATTCTGTGTATTTTTTGTATTTATATGCGGGATTTAATGATTGTCAGCCGGCTTATGCGAAGGGGTCGGCATATAAGCTGTCTAAATAAATAAATAAAAATAAGGAGCTGGGGTTGTCTCTTTTGCGCTTGTCCTAGGGCAATTGCGACAGGTCTGGCATGCACTGATGGTGCTGCATAGTTCCATAGGATTTAGCTTGTTCACACTGCACAGGAATGTTTGCTGTCATAACAATGTGCTGGTATTATGGAAGCAAATGGCTTATCAATATAAAATATTTGACCTTTTCGTTCTGTAGAATTAGGTCCTCTTTTTTCTTTGATACAGCATTCCCTGCCATGCTGTCAAAATGGGGCTCAAAGCAGAATTCTCTGCAGTTCCTACCACAGACATTTTTCCCCCTCCCCACTGAAAAGCCACCTGTTTACCACCAGTATTGGATTCTGCCTCTTTGTTGCTGGTTGTCTGAACTCCCTGCTCAGTTTCCCAGTTCTCTGTCCCAGGAATTAAAGGTGTAAAGCCCTGCCCAATGTATACCTTTGATGGCAGAATGTCAATTGCTTGTTTTAAGTTGTTTTCTTTGCTCGTGTTTACATTCTCATTTGTCCAGAGTACCTTTTATGTGCAAAGGGGGTGATTACTTCATATAACCAGACACTTTTGAAATGTAGTTTTGACCTTCAGTTTCCCAGGCAGTGACAAGTTTCTGGAGAGGGCTGCAAGAATTGAGGCGATGGAAGCATTTGTAGCCCTTTAGAGCTCTCCAGATGTGCAGAAATGCAGCCTTGGCACCCTTCTGCTTTGATTTCTTCCCAGCCTTGCCATCCCTCCCTTTCCCAACCTATAGCATGGTTCAGGATTCCAGGGGCATGCCACAGCAAGCTGCATCAGGGAAGGAAATGGGCAGAACTGGTGCCTCAATTTCCTCCTGCACTGAGAGATTTAAATGTTCTCCAGCAACCCCATAGAGGGTCAAACTCGATGGGTCAAAGTAGATGTGATGCTTTTCACAAAAATGTTCCTTTTCACATCAATGCAAGTAGCAGTTCTGGGGGCTGTTCCTCTTTCTCTGCAACAAAGTCCTGATATGGACTGGGAGTCCCATACCTGCAATTTCCTTTTAAAGGGTCATTCACACAGTTGCTAATTTGTATACCCAGAAAACTGCATGTCCTCCACAGGAAGTCTGCAAGTGAAGCTGCTCGTGTGGATCTCTCTGAAGCTGGCATTTGGTGGGTGGGAGGTCCACCAATGCTAACAATGTGTTCCCCACCTGCCAAGTAGCATCCTAGTAAAGACAATGGACTCCCCCAGGTGTAAACAAGCCCTGCCATCAGTGCAGTCTATATATTGGTGATTACACTCCACTCCCAGTTAAAACCTCCCTGCGTATAACATTTGAAGTTGTAAACTGGTTCTTACCCTGCTTGTCCTGATGGGTGCTAGCTTTCTACATGCAGGGATATTTTCAGGTGATTTTGCATTTCATCTCAGAGCCCTCCACCTTCAGCCTAGCAATGACATATCTGCACCAGCATGTGACTCTCAGCATGTGACTCTTATGAGGGGGTGAGGCCAGGGCATGGCAGTGTGAGGCTGAAGCATGCATGTTGAAACGTCTCCTTTCCCCTGTCTGCCATTGCAGCTTCACGGATATTGTTACCAAGACAGCAATGACATCTCCGACACACTGACAGCTATCACAGAGCTGGGTTCGCCGCTGGAGATGATACAGCTTTTACAGACCTCCTGGGAGGACAGATTTCGCGTAAGTGCAGTTAGCACCCTGAAAGGCCTCAGCCTTTACGCAGGTTCAGGATATGTGTAGAGCAGCCTTCCCCAACCTGATGCCTTCGAGATGTGTCAGACTACAGGTCCCAGAAACCAGGTGTGGAGTGAACATCACAGACCTTGGCTCCAAGGACCATGGCAACAGGCCGTGCTGCAGCAGGCCCAGCTGGGGCGTGGAGGCACCAGCAGCTGCCTGGGGGTGCTGCATATGGTGGCTGAGTCAAGTTGCGTGGAAGGCAAGCATCTTCCTGGCCTAAAGCTCTCGTCACTCATAAAATCCTCTTGGAGCCACACTGATCTATGTCCATGACACAGATCAGTGTCTGTGTCTGCTGTAGCAGGATCTCGCCTGAACCTGGGAGGAATTCCTTCTGAGTATTCCTGTAGAGAGCTAGGTTGTGACTGAGGTTAAGTGAGTGCCTTTGGCCAGAGTGATCCACAAAGCCGACACAGAAGGCGGCTTTGAAATGGGCCTTGCATGATGGACACATTGCATAAAGACTGCTTGCAGGAGGTTTCCGTGTGCATCTGCAGTGTTAGCCTTCATTTCCCTCCCAGGACCTCCGAAGAGCAAAATTAAAACATTAAAGGCCAGGGGGAGATTGCACCCACACGTGGCACTCTGAGCCCTTGAGTCTTTTTCAAGCAATGAAGAGAGCTGAAGGTCTGTTGTCATTTTCTTTGCGCTGTAATAATAAACAGACAGGATTGCCCTGTTAGGAAAGCTGTGCGTGACAGTTTGGCTTTTGTTATTCCAGATATGCTTGAGCTTAGTTCGGCTTCTGCATTACCTGGCCCACTCTCCCCTGGGCTCTGTGACTCTCTTGGATTTCCGACCTCGACAGTTTGTGATCGTGAATGGGGAGCTCAAAGTGACTGATCTGGACGATGCCAGCATTGAGGAGAGCTCCTGCAGTAGCAACAGGGACTGTTTCATGGAATTCCCCGCAAGAAACTTCACTCTACTTTGTTCTGTTGAGGGCGAATGCCAAAGTATGAACGAGAAGAGGAATCTTTACAATGCATACAGGTATATTGAAACAGCTGAAAATTAATGCACAGGTCTCAATAACTTTGGATATACAAGGAAAGTGAAATGAAAAAAGAGCTAATTAGGGAGGAAAACTTCTAATGCTATGAACTGTTCAACAGTGGGACAGCCTGCTTTGGGAGAAGGTAGGTTCTTCTTCTCTAGTGATATTTAAATAGAAGCAGGGCAGCCACCTGGAAGAGATGATGAATTTGAAATGTGTGTAATTTACACAGGTTGCAGAAGTTGTGGGTTGAATAGTCTGCTCTCTCCCACCCTTCCTTCACTCTCTTTCTTGGAAGTACAGAGCATACTGCCTTCTAGAAGTGTACCTGAATCAACAAGAATAAAGTTGGTTGTTTTTCAGATTAGAAGTGTGAAAGAAGTTTTGAATTTACAGTTCAAAAACCCTCCCCAACGACCTTATCCAAGCAGAGGCAGACACTTTTGCAAACAGGCCAGATCCATGAGGGTTTTTTATAGAAAATCTCTACATTAATAAAATATTTACAGGTAGTTACAAGGTGGCCTTGTGCAAAGCAGCTCTCTGTGCTAAGCTGCACCAAGCAGCTGTGTGAATATAGGTGGAGCTATATATTTAATTATAGAATATGATTCTATTTCCTGCATAGCTCAGAGACTTGTAAATTACTGGGATTTTATTATTCCTGTATGTTGTTCAGTGGTTAGCACACTCTCATAAACCTCACACATTCCGCTTCTTCGTAGGTTTTTCTTTACATATCTTCTGCCGCATAGCGCCCCTTCGTCGCTGAGACCGTTGCTGGATGTGATTGTCAATGCTACGGGTAAGGACATACAAAGATTCCTTCTGGATCAGGACAACTGTCTGCATTTCACAGTGGCCAATGAAACACTTTTGAAAAACCCACCTAGAGACTTTGAAGGCAAGAATCACAGAATTATAGAATCATAGACGAGTAGAGTTGGAAGGGGCCATGAAGGCCATCAGGTCGAACCCCCTGCTGGTTCAGGACACCAGTTCATGCCAACCCACTCAGATGGCTGTCCAAGAGACTTCTTTCCTGGCTTTTCCCGGCATCTAGAGTTCCGTGGCAAGCTACTTCAGCACATGAAGCTTCCCTGAAGCCACTGCAGCTGTTTCCATTCACTAGGCAAACTACTTTTGAAATTTGCCAAGCACGTGGCCATCTTTATGGCAGTGACTTCCATAAATTAAATTGTGCTTTGGGCAAAGGACTTCCTTTTCTGAATTTACTGTCAATCGGTATCATTGGTTGACATTCAGTTCCTTATATTGAAAGGAGGGTGAGCTTATCTGCTTTTCTGACGCCATGCATAATTTGTGAGGATAAAATGGAGCTATCTAAGCTGTCTTGGGTTCCTCGCAAGAAGTAAAAAAGGCAGGCAATGCAATAATACTTTCCCTTCATAGAAATCTTGTTTCCCCTGAATTAAAAAGGTCCCCAAATTTTAGCCATTCTGTTCCATCCTTCTGAAGGTGTTGCGATTTCCTGATCAACTGTTCCTCCCTTTTTAAACTAGAACCCTGAGATCCAGTTGACACAAAGACATACACTTAGAATTAAAAGAGCCCAGGGATTTGTTTAGAATGCCAGAATTTGATGTTGCTCACAGACCTTTTGCACTATAATACACCCTTGGTTATCCAAAGCTTTCTTCATTCCAGCAGTATAAATTTGGACAGGAGGAGAGCTCTGTTGTCGATGTTATTGGGAAGCAAAACTCTTTGCTGATCTATAGCAAATTTCCCAGAGATCTACCCTACTAAATTCAATTTAATAATAATAGTTCTAGATGTACTTGCTGTCCAATCCTAAATTGCAGCAGTGGGGGTGGTAAGAGAAGGAAAATGAGAAGGAGAGCAGTTTGGAGAACAAAGAATGAATATGAGCAAATGTGGCTATTGTTGTTGTTATTCTCTTACAAGGAATCCAAAGCTGCTTATAAGGTTCTCCTCTCCATTTTATCAACCCTGTGAGGCAGGCTAGGCTGGGTCTACCACTGCCCCAAAGTCACCTGGTGAGCTTCATGGCCATGTGGAGACCAGAACCCAGATGTCCTGAGTCTCAGTCCAGCATTCTTAACTGTTATGCCACACTGACTCTTTCTTTTTCTAAGCCATAATTTTTTCCTTACTGTTTACAGGAGAGCTTCAGTGGGGGATAGATGAAACAGCTGCTCACCTTGAAAGAGTTTTGCATCTATACAAAAGTGGCATGTACCTCCAGAACATTACACGGAAGACCAATTCAGGTGAAGTACCACTTCTAGAAATGTAGCAAATTCTTAAAGAAAATTAAAAGGGGAAGTAGAACCTGCATGTTTATGACTGCCAAAAAAGCTATGCGTGTAGGGTGTGGGGGGGGGGGACTCTGGATGACATGTCCTCAGGTGAGTTCCTCATTCTGGTTGTGGTTGCAGAAAATGTTGGGCTGGGTCTGGCCCTCCACAGTGCCTTTGAATGATGCTGGCTTGAATGACTAGATCCAAGCACGTGATGTAGCTTCGAAGGTTAGGCTCCTAATAAAGTTGAAGTGGGGCCAGCGGCCTGGCAGCTGCCCAGGCATGCAGGTACTGGTGCCTTTTGCCCTCACTGAAAAGGATTACCTGGCTACCTATTTAAGAAACTTGTCTGTCCAGCTGATGAATGATGAAGTACCCAAACTGCAGGCATTAGCTGGATTTCTGTACAGCTATTAATCATGCTAAGTACATTGCAGATTTGGACTGTATATGAACTGAGATCCTGTCCATAGTCTAGTAAAATAATCTTCTCATGTCCTGCATGCCAGGGCTTTTTAGAATTCCCAAAGCCCAGAACAGAGTGACGAAATCCTCTTCTTACACTATGAGATCGATAAGCACCGGTAGAGAACCTGTACGGTATGCAACCCCATTTAATTCAAAGGGCTTACTTCTAGGTAAATGGCTGTAGGTTGCAAATAGATGGTCTGAGTCCTCCCAGCCAACTCTTGAAGTATTTCCTCCCAATTTTTTCTAGGGCTCTCATAGAAGAACTGCAAATAATTATCAGATACCAGGTTGGATTACATTAAACCAGAAAAAATGAAAAATGTTTATAGGTTGTTTCATTTCAACTTCTGAAAGCTCAATTCGGCCTGCCCACAATCCTGCATGCTATCTTGAACATACAGACCTCATTCATTTTAATGGAGAAAACAAATCTACCAAATAAAGAATGCCTGTCTGTCTTTTTCTTGAAATGAATGGACAAGCCATTATAAGTCGAATACTCTGTGTTACAAGAAATGGAAAGACTGAAATAAGTGTCTTTAATATGGAATTGTAAAACCATCCGTATATGTGATGGTGATAAATCCCAGCCTTGTATGGCAGCAGCTGAGGATCAGTACTAAATTATCACTGTAGGAGAGAGGAAAAGGAAAGATGGATTCTTTTCAAGTATTGCTCCACGTGAGGAAAGTGGCCCTCAATAGAAAAGCAACTCCGTGAAAGTTCTTGTCAATCTGAACCTCCCATAAATAAACGTTAACAAGATAAACCTTTGTAATGTTACAGAAGGACTTGGGTCTTAAGCTTTCACTGTGCTTTGGTTGTAAAACTTTTTATAGTGTCATAAATTATATTCTACTTTGGACTTTGCTTTAATGACACAGAAAAAAAGCATATGTGTGCGCGCATGAAGCTTTAATCGTCATGTGTGTTTTTCTCTAATCATAAATCACCCCATTATTAAAGTAAAGTTTGTTATCTGGAAGCTGTGCTATTTGAAATGACACACTGTGTGTGTGTGTGTTACTAAAATTGACTGCACTGAACCTGAAACAAAATCTAGATTGCAAACAGGACTTGTAAGGCTCTAAGAGTTTTAGTATAAAGCACTTGCCTTTGAATCGATGGTCAGCAGAATTGTTTAGAAATGCACATTTCCCCAAGGACAAAAGTGGCACCCGTCCTTTTTTCTTGCTTTTTCTCATATTATTCCTCTGCAGTCACTGAATACTGGCAAGTGTGGCATATGAACAGGTTTTTTCTTCATGGCTATTTAGAAAGAGATGAGCCAATGCTAGCTACTTTTTATTTTGCAAACATTTCAAGAAAATCTCTCCTTTTCAGAGTGTTTTATTTTCCTGTGTTCCTTACAAAGATGTACATGTGTGGCAGGAATCCTATGCAACTTTACTTGGAAGTGAGTTCCTTGGTGTTTATGATAACTGTGTGCAGAACGGCAGCCACATTAATTTACTTTGCCCTTACCTGTCGTGAGGGATGCGGCCATGTGGCAAAACTGGATTGGCTGTGTATTGTTGTGATGTCATTAAGGCCATCCAAAGAGGCAAGGAACAAGGCAGCACCTGCTCCCATGCCACCTACAGAGCCTTACAAGATGGCAGCCGAATCTTACATTGACTCTGGTGACAGGACACCTGTGTCCTGTACCACACATGAGAGCAGCAGTGATGGTCCGTTTGCCTGGTTTATTTTCATTCATTCAATTATATTTGTACCCCACCTTTTTTACTTCCTAGGAAATCAAGGTGGCTTACATAATTCTCTTCCTCTCAATCTTATTGTCACAACAAGAACCCTGTGAGGTAGGTTGGGCTGAGAATCTGTGTCGGGCTCAGCATCATGACTGTGTGGGGACTAGAACCCAGCTCTAAGTCCCAGTTCTGCATTCTTAACCACTACACCAGACTGGCTGTAAGGAGCTACCTAGGACCCTGCCAGACTCCCTATAGTGAAAGAGCAGAATCTAGGAGTAGCTATTATGCAAGTGAGATCACTGTTATTCTCAGCTGTAACAGAAAGGGAAACCAATCAGTTGAGCATCATGAAAGACCAGCAGAGCCATATTAAGCTCTCTGTCTCATTGCCCTTTTAGGCGCGCGTGCGCGCACACACACACACACACACACACTCAGCGAAGTGCCATTTGGAAAGTGAATCTCTCTTCCCTGATAGCATTTCCAGCTGTGGTGCATTCACAAGACCTTTTCTGCCTTAACCATTGGCCAGTCTAGTGCAAGTAAATGCAACTTAACCCTATTCTCTAAAGCACTGGGCTTCTGTGCTTTTCAGAGCTCCAAGGAAAGGGAGAGCATGCACAGGTATGGCTTTCTTATTTTTCTCTTGCAGCGTGAAAGGGAAAACTGCTCCCAGTGAGTGTTGCCTCTCTTCAGAGTTTTTACTGGGCAGAAGCCTGGTTCCTTTTGAAGTGTATTCATCCTGAGGAAGAGCCCATGCCACAGACAGCTGCCAAGGTGTTGGAGCAGTGCCCTTATGGTTGCTTGACCCATGCTAGATCAATCCTTGAGCATTTCAGGCATCAAATCTTGTCCCCCTTTAACTCATTTAAACAAATGAGCAAGCCATTATTATGTCCGGAGGGTTTCCTGTGTGCCGCAGGAAAGTTGGGGGCATCGCTTCCTGAAAGAGGAGTGGAATGCAATGCCAGCCTATAAGGCATGGCATTCGCTGTTCTCATTTGCTCTTTGACATCTTGGCAAGACTGCACTGCGTGTAAATATTTACAGGACAAAGGTGCTTCCAAAATGCTAGAGTAACCTCCTGAGAAAACTGGAAGCCTGGGCAACATAACACTCCTTCTCCCACCTCTTTTCTCTCTGATTTTCTTTCTGGCTACAGCCCTACAGCTAAATGCTTCTTGTAATTGTCTATCTATTTCAGTTGGCAATACAGTGGCACAAGAATGGGAAGCAATATGGCATAGTGGTTAGAGACTTTTGTATATAAGGGGGGACCCAAAGAACCCCAGGAATTTATTTATAAAAAATTGTGTATTTATTTTTGCATGTTCAAACTTCAGTCACTTTCAAAGTACTCTTTGTTTGATGCAATACACCTATCCAGACTTTTTTCGACTGCTCAAAACAGGTTTTGAACTTGTTCATTTTGATCCCTTTTCACCTCTTCCACACTGACAAAACATTTCCCTTTGAGGACTTTTTTCATCCAGGGAAACAAAACAAAACAAAAGTTGCACAGGGTGAGATTGGGTGAATAGGGAGGGTGGGGCACAAGAGTCATGCCGTTTTTGGTCAAAAACTGCTGAACAGAATTTCATCAACTGCACGTTGCTTTTATAAATCAGCCATCACAGAATAGGAAAATTATTGAAAGAGTCTCAAAAACTCCCCCCAAACCCTCCCTGAAGCCGAATGCAGCCTCTCACAACAACCCAGCTGGGTACCCTGATGCACATGGGTTCCTAGAACGCTCGCCTAGCGGGGGAAGCCTGTACGACAAGGGGGCTGCCCTCCAGAAGATAATTCCTGCTTTTTTGGGGTCCCTCCTTGTAGTGTTGGAGACTTTGATTAGGGAGAGCCAGGTTCAAATGCCTGTTTGCATCCAGCCATAGGTTACTGGCAGAGCACACACTTTTCATGAAGCAATTCCCAGGTTCAGTCTCTGGCATTTTTGGGTTAAGGCAAGAAAAAGTTCTGCTGGAAACTGCGGAGAGCCTGTGCCAGTCCAGATCCACAGCACAGGGCTAGGTGGACTGGTGGTCTGACGCAGTAGACAGCAACTTTGGGTCTTCATTGGACAAGGCTTGGGCTGGTCACCATCTCTCACTAATTTTAGCCATCAGCCCCAGTGGAAACAAAACCGAATAATATGTAGCTATATGTATGCGAACATATAGCTCTCCTCTCATCCATTTGCCCGCCCGTCTTTATGTTGCCTTTTATGACATGGTTAGAAAGCCAGTGTGGGGGTGGTTGGTAAGGGTTTGGCCTGGAGACTAGGGAGATCCAGGTTCGAGTCCTCACTCAGCCATGAAACTCTTTGAGTGACTTTGGGCCAATCACTGACTCTCACCCTAATGTATCTCAAATAGCTGTTTTTGTGAGGATAAAATGGAGCAGAAGAGACCCTTATAGACTGCCTTGAGTTCCTTGCAAGAGGAAAGTGGTGGAGTATACATGTAATGCAATAATAATAAAAATACATGCACATTTATAATACATCTATAATACATAAAATACATTTGTATAAATGTGTAAATACATTTATACAAATACAAATTGTATTTTTGTATAAATGTATAAAATTTTGTATAAAATGTATTTTCCCCAGAATTTAGCATACAAAACAGTGAAAGTACAGTAAGCATTCAAATTACAGAAAAAGAGGGATGGCTAAGAGTGCTATATTCTATGCCGCCCCGAGGTTTCGGCAAGGGGCGGCATAGAAATGCTATAATAATAATAATAATAATCATAATCATAATCATAATATTGTGTGTA